ATATACATATGTGCAGAGATTGAAACAAACCTTTTATCTATATTTAGGGATAGGGACCTAAACAGAGGTATCTTGATCTCTTGGGCCGAAATCATTAAATCCCAGTTGGCCTAATGGGTCATAGGCTGGACCAAGTCGTTTTACAATTGTACTGACAGTTTGTTTTGTTTTGTTTTTCCTTATGCAGCAAGCCCAGCCCCTGTAGATTAGGCTCATGGATCCAACTCCTTCATGACATAATGTAAATAAGTTTTATTTATTTTTTAATGATTTTCAATTTTTGCACAAAATTACCGTACATATCGAATCATGAATGAAAATCCACATTTTCTCATTCAATGTCTTCTGTTGTAATGATTTTCCATTAACTTTAACCCCAAATGTTTTAACTAAGGGTTGACATAAAGATAAAATAAACTTGTTGGATGGATTTGAGACGAAAGAAATGTTAAAAGACTGCTAGAGAAATTATCTCAAATTGAAAGAGTATTGAATTTTGGGGCCGAAAGAAGTCCAAATGATTTGAAACTCAAGAGAAAGGCCCTGAGGCCCAAACCCCAGCAAGAATTGATTATTTTGCATGAGTATTGCCAGGGGCACTCGCTTTTTGCACTCTCCGGCCAACACTTCCCCTTTCATTGGGCCACGTAAGCTTCTTTAAATCTTCAGCGCAACTTCTCGGTAACCAAGATAACGTGGCCCAATAAAAGAGAAAGTGTTGACCGGAGAGTGCGAAAAGCGATTGCCCCTAGCATTGCTCATTTTGCATAGAGGTTAGTAGGAACAGGACAAGATGGAGACCTTGTTGGACCCAACTGCACACTGAATTGATTGGGAGACCAAGAAAAAGTGGAAAAGGACAAGAGAGTGCGTGGGTGACACACGTTCCCCTACAAAATTGGGATGAATCATAAATTGCATTTTTTATTTTTACCAATAAAAAATTGAAAGATGGAGAAATAATTGGAATATTATTGCAGCACAGGCAACTAAAACTTTAATAAAGAAGCCAAGAGATTAGTGTACTTCCATCGCAGCTAAGACCGCAAGTGCAAACATAAATTGCATTTGACTGTGGATACCACAACCCTTTCAATAAAATAAGAAAGCCAAGTTGCTTACCGTTTGACGTTTTATCTGCGCAAATCACAGTCCAACCTGCCCGGCTGCCCCCCTATCTCCCTCTAACCTAAAGGCTGCCTTGTCCCAATTCTGGATGCCCTTCATTTTGTCTTCTAAACCATTCATATAGGCGTATTCAATTATACTTTGTGCTTCGGCAAGTCTCCATCTCCCAAGTCAATGTCATCACAGATTATTCATTAAGCACTTAATTAAGTTGAAAAAGCAATTAATCATCCTCTATGCTTTCTACCTTCGTTAGGGACAACTCAAGTTTAAAATCTGTTGTTATTCATACCGAGAAAAAAAAATATCACTAAAAGATTTAGAAATGATTTTCGTGATGAAAGAATAATTTATAAATGATTATTAAAAGACAAAACTAGGAATGATCATCTCATACGAAACATCTTAAATGTTTTGCTTATACAATATGGCTTACCTTGTTGAACACAACTCTACAAATATTATTCAAAACCATGATGATATCAATGAAATGGATGAAAATAAAATATTGCATTATTTTAAAGGGAAGATGCATTTCACACCATTCACCAATTTTAACTATTTTATTTG